GTTTCGAGCATTCCCGCGAGCACATCCGGAAACCATGCCAACGGGAATAGTCGGGAGGAGGGAAGCAGACAAGCGAGCCAGTGAGCCATGCAACGGCCTGTGGCACGGCACCATCGGCAACGATCTCACGAATTCTGTATTCTAGGGGGCGGCGGCGTATCTGATTCGGTTGTCGGGGAGGCGGAGGGGGGGCAGGAGGAGGCGGAGGAGGGAGGGGAGGAGTAGATGAGCACGTAGTCAGGAGGAGGGAGGGGAGGAGGGAGATTGAGTAGGAGGCTGAGGCTGAGGAGGGAGGGGAGGGAGGGGAGGAGGGAGGGGAGGGAGGGGAGGAGGCTGAGGAGGGAGGGGAGGGAGGGGAGGAGTAGATGAGCATGTAGTCAAGCACGTAGGCCAACAGTCCTCAGCTCGCTCCCCCCGGGGGGAGCCTCTTCCAGGCCGCAGGTCCAGCTGGCCGCGCGCTGCGTATACTGGCACCGGGCAGCACTGGCCCAGAGGGCTGCCTCGAACGCCAGGGCCGACGTATCCTGTGGCGGCGTTTGCTCGCGCATCCAAAGTCTGTGCAGCGGGCAACATCGCACCTGAGGAGGAGGAGGAGGAGGAGGAGAGAGAGGAGGAGGAGGAGGAGGAGGAGGAGGAGGAGGAGGAGGTGGAGAAAGATGAGGATCAGTGTAAACCAAAACCAGGTCCCCCGGTGGTGCCACAGGGCCTCTAGGGCCTCGCGGCACGCGCCCGTGCTCGGGCGTTACGGTGCGAGTGCGGAGTGGGATCGTTCCAGGATGCTGCGGGAGAAGAGAGAGTGTGTGTGTGTGTGTTTACACCCAAGACCATCATCGACGATTCAACCCTCCCTCCGAGCTCCTCCTTTCTCGGTTCCTACGAGAGTTTGTGCTCATTGTGGGAAGTGCCCCAGTGGAAGACAGCCGTCTGAGAATCCTCAGTCGTGCCAAACACAATCCCTGGAACTGCAACGTCGCGAATCAACGAGATTGTTGTGTCCTGACAGTGTAAATCGCGCCAGGACACCATTCATGGAACTTCAACACCGCGAATCATTGTGAGTATTACATCCTGAGAATCTCTATCGCGGCAGACCACCGTTCCTGGAAGGTCAACTACACACATGTTTACGACTGCTGCAAACTTTTAAGACGAATGTGCGCGGCGATGCGGCCAGAACCATTCGCTTGAAAAGAAATCGCCCTCCATTCTTGAAGCTGCTGCAAACTTGTTACGACGAATGCGCATGGCGCTGAAGAGAGAACCACATTTCGAACACGGGCTTCCCTCCATCCTTTCAAAACTTGCAAAGTTTGAAGACATATGTGCGCGGCGTTGGGGCGAGAGCCACGTTTTTTCAACATGGCGCCCTCCATCCCCGAAGCAGTTGCATACGAATGCGCGCGGCACTAAGGCGAGAGCCACGTTTTGAAAACCACCCGCCCTCCATCTTTGAAGCTGTTGCAACATTCAAGCTTTATGGCCATACGTGGTGAGGAAGTCGCAGGCAAAACGCCCAGCCCGCGCTGTTGATATTTCTGGGGTTGCGACAGGGAGAAGTCATGGATAAGGAAAAAGGATGGAGGAGGAGATGATGATGATGATGATGATGATGATGATGATGATGATGATGATGAGGAGGAGGAGGAGGAGGAGGAGGAGGAGGAGGAGGATGATGATGACGAGGAGGAGGAGGAGGAGAGGAAGGAAGAGAAGGAGGAGGAGGAGGAGGAGGAGGAGGAACCTGCTGGGCGTTCCTGCCGCGCGACTGCCTCATGAGTTCACGTTGCCCCCCTCGTCGGGCCTGTCGAGGTCATCTTCCTTCTCCCCCTCGCCCTCCTCTTCTTCCTTCTCCTCCTTCTCCTCCTAGCAGGGTCAGTGGGAACTGAGGTGAGGTGGCAGAACTCGACCTGCTCCACGGCCGCCCTGCTGTGGGGCACGGCTGCTCTTCGCACGGCGGCGGCGGCGGCTGCCCCGCTGGACCCGCTAGGACTCGACCGTGTCGACAGCGTCCTCCAGCGCCTTCCCGGGTCCACGGCGCGCGGCTGCGACGTGCTCTCGCCGCTGGATGCCCAGAGGCTGCCGCCCGCTGATCGTCAAGAACTGGTCGACTGCTCGGCGCTGCCGAGTGCCAGGGCACCTGGCCTGAGCAGCTGCTCCTGACAGTGTGTTGTACCACTCACAAGCCCGCTTTTGCGGTGACAGAGCGATCGCCCCCCTGCCGACCACCGCTGGCGTTTGGTCGCGAGCGAGGGCCAGCATCGCAGACCGCTGGTCCGCGTCGCTCGCCGAGCACCGGGACACTGCTGTTAAAACGAGCTCCGCCCTCACGACAGCGCTTGTGCGCGCTGCCATGGACGAAAGCTTGGCGTCACTCGGGTTTTGGTCCGCGTCGATTTTCCTCGATTTCGAAATTCTACGACAGCGCGAGCCTGTTCAAATTGATGGAGGCATCGGTGTCCCAGGGATTCTCCCTTGTAGTGACCGTCCTTGAGGTCCAGCTGCATTTGGCGCCTAGGCCTTCAAACTCCATGACCACGTGCAGCAATTTGTGACCCCTGGCCGGTCAATTGTGGCTGAATCGGTCCATGGAGTGGAATTCGCCGAGGTTTTCCTGGGCCCCATCCTCCATGCCGCGCACCGTCGAGCGATCGTCTTGGCGGCCCCTCCCGTTGGGCTGTGGTCCTTCGTGGACGACATGGCTCTCTGCAGCGAGGGCACTGACTCATCCGTCCGTGTAAGCAGTTGCTGCTTTTCCTGAACTCGCTGAGAACATACTTCTGTTGCGACACCAGGCTCGACGCTGCCGCTACTGTTGTAAAATCAACTGGCACGGACTAGAGCCACGAGACTCTCGTCGCGACCAGGAATCGCTTCAAAACGCACCCCGTGAGGTTAAAGAGGGGGGCTGGGAGGGAAGCTTGAGCAAGAGCGGTTGCGGGCAAGATGAGCAAGGCCCGCAAGACACGACAGACGTTTTTGAAGTCACAGCAATATCGTGGTACCCACAAACATGCTGCTTTTCCTGAACTCGCGGAGAACACACTTCTGTTGCGACACCAGGTTCGAGGCTGCCGCTACTGCTGTAAAACCAGCTGGCACGGACTAGAGCCACGAGACTCTCGTCGCGACCAGGAATCGATTCAAAACGCACCCCGAATCGAGCGCCGGGTCTAGGCACGAATCGGTAGTTCACAGCGCAGCGGATTCAACCTCATCGTCTCTCTCCGAAGGGCGGACGCGGATAGCAGGGCACGGGCAAGCGCGGAGGCGAGAGGCCGAGGATACGCGGCCGAGGCGGCGGTAGCTCGAGAGCCCTCGACAACGACATGCTTGCGGCCTGTCGCGGAACAAAAACCGTGCTTCCCGTGCATCGACTCTCCGAAGGCAGCCCAGAGGACCTAAATCCAGCTCGTCACTACAACCGAACGCCAGTCGCGTAGCTTTGCGGTGTTGTGACCCGAACTGGCACTGGTGAACGTCACAGATTTTCACATGTGCAGACTTAAGAACATCACACAGACACGGATCATGCCACATGTAACTGGACTGCGGATGCTCGATACAGAAGGGAACGCGCGCACGCACACAGGCTTGCACCACCCTAATCACGAAATCAAGGAAAATATTCCCGAGTCTCACCTTTGCCCTACGATCACTCGGAAGCCTGGGGAGACCTCTGGGGTACTGCTTGCTGCGGATCGGACAGGAGGAGTTCTGAACGATCGAAAAAGATGTGCACGGCGGCGCCATCATCACGGCGAGCACCTCTTGTTGCCGCAAACTCCGCAGCACTCTGGCTTGGACACAGCTTCTCAAGAGGTCACCTGCCGGACCGCCGCGGAGGTCGCACTCGCGCGCCTGGAAGCGCCACTGTCGAGCTGCGCGCGCCACACCGCCGACTCCCGAGAAGAGATCCAAAAAATGACCTCCGGAGCCTACGGGCACGGGCGCGCTAGCAACGGCGCCCCGCGCAGGAACACATCCTCCAGGCGCTCCTCGCAGACGAGGGCGAACGCCTGCACGTCGGGGTCCAGCCTCCTCCACGCCTCGTTCAGGTGTCCTGTCTTCTCGTAGCGCACGATCGAGCGAAATGATGACCACCTCCCCCTCTTCATTGCCTCTTCCTGGGATCGAAGACGGAAGGCTCGGTCGAGGCTGATCCCGCTGTGCCGCGCCTGATAAGGCACCACGGGGATCCGCAGCCGGTCTCCTGCTACACGCACCAGTCGACCGAATTGCTGGTAGTCCCACGGGAAAAGCTTCTCCGCCGACGAGCCTTTGGCCAGGTACGCGAACACGGAGTCCGCCCAGCGCATTCTCTCAGAATTCATCACCACCGTGTCGTCCGCGCCCCCAACCTTGCTCCGTTTGATCTCCTCCTGGGGGAAGAGGTGCAGGCTCCAGTCTGTCGGGCCGCCCCGCGCCGGGGCGACTAAGGAGCCCCGCCGGAGGCTGAGCAGTTCTGACGGCCTCAGGTAGGCGTCCACCATCAGCAGCACTCCAGACCCTGCGCGCCCGTGCCCGCTTCGCAGCAGCTCCAGCGCCAGCGCGGACCACACCGCCCAAGGCAGCGGCCGCCGACTGAACTTCGGGCAGAGCTTCCCCCACCCCCTGAGGCACTGAAGAGTCCGTGGCACGTGCCGGCTGCCTCCCCGCCCGAAACTCGGGAAGGCGAACATCATGGCGGCCACCATGTACTCGCCTCGCCACACGCGGTCCCCGAGCTGGTACCTCAAATTCATCCGCGCCACGAGACACTCGTCCACCTCGCCGTCCTCGCACAGCGCCATGCTCTCCCGGTCGGCGAAGTCCAGGAGCTCCTGCGCGAACGACCGATACCGGACTCTGTTGGCCTCCGACACGCTCGCGGCCTCTAGGTAGCTCTGGCCAGGGAGCATCGTTGTCTTGCCCTCGGCCATCCGCGCCACCCGCCGCCGCGCCCGCTGTCGCGCCAGTCGCTCCTCCTTGCGGTCCGCCTCGGCCACCGCCTCCTCGGACGCGGAGTCGCTCTCATCGTCCCCGACGGTCGAGCCGGCGTCTGCGGCCCGAGCTGGCACCCTTGCCTCCGCCTCCAGCGAGCCATTCGGCTCCAGCGCCGGCGCCTCCAGCCGCGACTGCAGGCTCGTCGCCCTCGCCGCTGTCAGCGTCCGGGCGCGCCTCGAGCTTCGGCTCCGCGCGCGGCCCTGCTTCTCTCCGGCTGCAGCCAGCGTCCGCGATCGCCCGACCGCGCCCCGCTGCACTCCTGGTGCGGGCACCGCCAGTACCCTTTCCCGCCTCGCCTGGACCATGCGATCCAGGTCTTCGAGCCACACGGCCGACGGAAGGTCGTCTGGGCTGTCTCGCACTAGGGCTCGGCTCGCTGCTCCTAGCTCCTTTCTCCTGCTCCTCCTCACACCTCCTCTCTGCTTGTTGCTCTCGATCCTCTCCTCCTCCTCGCTCTCGCTGGTCATCATCTTCTCGCTCTCCTTGCTCCTGCTCGTGTACTTCTGATGGTAGCTCTCTGTCTCCTATAAGTTCTGCTTCACTCTCTCGTCCGTCTCGATCATGCTCGTGATCATCTGACTCGCCATCTTGATGCCCGTCTTGAGTCCGTTCGTCATCGTAGACCTCATCGACCTCTGAAACGTCCAGGCTCTGACCCCGACCCCCTTTATCATCACGCGGCCCTGGGGAGCAGGAGACGATCCAGGTGGCATCTTTCTTTTCATCATAGTCCCTGTCAAACAATCGGCTTCCCTTGTCGCTGCTGTTCAGCTCTGAAGGCACCCAGCGGAAAACCAGCCGCAGGCCTCGCGCCAACGCGAGAGAGCCAGCCCGCCTGATAAGGGTCAGCAGCTTGAAGTCCCTTGAGCGGGACCTTCCCAGCGCCAGGGTCAGCGCCAGGTTATCTCCCACAAACAAGGCTCGTGCGTCGTGTCCGTGTCGGCTCCTGGCGAGGCGCTCGATCCCCTTCAGCGCGGCCCGGGCGTCCAGGTGGATGATCCCTTCTTCGTACCTCCACTTGTCGGCCATCACTGTGCTCCACCGGGATCCATGTAGCAGATGAGCTGGCAGCTCCGGGAACGACCTGTCGCGCTCCCACCTCAGCGCCTCGTCCTTGGTAGGCTTGGCTCGAGCTTGCAGCAGCCCGTCCTCGCGCTCCTCCAGCCCTGCAGCAGCAAAAGCGTGGCTCCTCGCGGCCTCGGCCCCCAGGCGGAACCGGGCGCGCTCGGGCACTCGCCCAGCGTCCGCGACCGCTGCCTCAGGCCACTGCGAGTAGGCCACCCCGAAGCCCCATGGCGAGGCATCGGTCTGGTAGACGCCTGGCAGCCACTGATCATCCCACTTCGCCTCCAAGAAAACCATGGCACCGCAGAAGGCCTTGAGCTCATCCTTCACGCACTGCCACAGCGGCGCCTTCTCATAGTACAGCTTCTTCACAAACCTGTAGGTGCCTTGGAGAATGGACAGCAGCTCCCGCCTGATCAGGACCACGAACGTCATATGGCCCACCAGGACCTCGAGCTCCTGCCCGCTGCAGACACCGCGCCGCAGCACCTCCTGGATGGAGTCCCGCACGCGCCAGAATCTCTTGGCCGTCGGTCGAGTCCGACCCCGAGCTCCGTCCACCTCGATGCCCAGGACCACCCCACACTCACAGGCCACATCCGTTTTGTGCACCGCCAGCCCCTGGCTCCCGAAGGTCTCGGTCACCGCGGTCAGTCCCTTGCGCACGTACTCCTCATCATCGGCCAGCACGCCCAAGTTGTCGACGTAGCAGTACTTGCCTCGTCCAGCGTCGCCTCCCCCTCCCTGGAGCACCAGAGGCAGCCCACGATCCTGAAGAAGGTGCGCGTCCCTCAGCTCCTTGGTCATCTCTATCTGCCGGGTGTTGGCCTCCTGAGCAAAGTAGAGGCTCCACGCCCAGCCCATGGGGAGGGACTGCGCGAGCGGGTACAACAACATGTCCTTCTCAACGTGTCGCCCTTCCCACCAGGTCAATCCGAGCTCGGAGGCCCACACCTCGGGATAGGTGAAGTACTCGTCGAGCTTCGACTCCTTCGGGAACCTCAACCTGTGGAAGCAGTCCTTCACGTCCGAGGTCCCCAGGTAAACAGCTCCCACTTCGCCTCATGTCGCTCCACCCGACTGAGACCTTCTCCCGTCAGCAAGCTCACGCTTGGGGGCGATACAAACTGCCGGTTGGACGCCCGACAGTCCAGGATGAGTCTCTGCTGCAAGCCGTCCTTATTCTTTACCACAAACACGCCCACGTCGCACTTCTTACTGGCACTGAGTCGCACCAGCCCTATTCGTAGGAGCCTCTTGACCAGCCCCAGGTACACCTTCCGATTGGACTTCAGCACGGGGTCAGTGTAGGGTCGCACTGGGCCCAGCGCCTTGTCGAGTACGGCCACCTCCTCGGGCGACCTTAGCATGTAGCTCTCTTACTCCTTCAAAAAGTTCAACGCCGCATCCGGTAACAGTCGATCCACCCGAGGTGCCTGCCTGACGCCCTCAGGGATGCTGAGCCGGTCGTGCACGAAGGAGGCCAGGTTAGCTCGGGTCTCGGCATAGGGGCCATGACCCCGCAGCAGCTGTGCAAGAGCCTGCTGCGATGAAGTCGCGCTGCTCGAGCGCCGCCAGCCAGCCGCGGCCAGCTGCGCCCGCCGCTTCGTGTCCCGCCGCAATCCAGCCACCTTGTCGTAGGTTGCCAGGCGCGGCTGCGCGCGGCTGGCCTCGCGCCACCGCGCTCCATGCATCCAACTCAAGCTCTCAATGGCGTCATTCGCCAGCCTCCTCACCCGCAGCTTCTCTCGCCTGGTCAGCCCGAAGCCGATGTCGGGGTCGAGCTGCTGCACCTCGGGCACCGGGAAGTACTCGCCCGCGCCGCCGGCCTCGTCCACCGCGCCTGGGGACGGCCACGCCCCAGGCTCTCGCCCGTGGCTCATCCAGCCCCGCCAGGGGCGCCCGCGCCAGCGGCAGCTCCTGCTCCGGCCCTCGCTTTGGCCTTCGCCTTGGCAGCTGCGCCCCTGGCGTCGTCCTTGGCCCCGGGCAGCCCGCCCAGCGCCAGTGCCGCGCCCGTCTCCTCAAGCTCCTGCCGAGCCCCGGCCACGCGTCCCCGCGCGGCCGCCGCCTGCCTCTCAGCCTCGTCTCTGGCAGCCCGATTGGCGAAGGACCGCAGCTCTGGGCTCACCACATCGAAGGGGTCCACCACGCCCGTCAAGTACCGAGCGCTCTCCCAGGACGCCTGCCCCGGCGCAGGCCCACTCCGATAGGCTTCCACGATAGTCACCAGCCGCCTCGCAATCGACTCCAACGCAGCGCTCCCTCCTGGGGCCGTCGTAGGTTCCCGCCAACCAAAGTGCATGCACCAAGTTCGTCAGCTCGTGGTGCGTCCGATCCTTCACTGAAATGCCGTGCTCCCTGCAGAACGTCAGAAGCCACATCTTCGGATCGCCCGTATGCTGGACAAAGCGCCGGCAGAGATGAAGACAGGTGTTCGCACCTCGGAGCTCGCATCCCTCGAAGGTCAACTGCGAGCTCTCGTCCACGGCTTTCCTCCACGACTTGAATCGCGCGCCCTCAGCGGTCCACTCCACGCAGAGCGTTCGAGCATCGCCCTCAGCCTCGGCCTCCTGTGCAGGCGGCGTCGCCGTACCCCCAGTCCTCTCAGCCCCGGTGTCCGCCGCCGCGAACTCCGCGCGCAGGTCGCCGCTCCGGCCACCGTTCTCCCGCGCAGCCCCGGGCTCACCCCCGGACGGGGGCAGAGGGAGGCGGTACTCCGACGCCGCCTCGATAGCAGCGCGTCGCCAGATCTCCACGGAATCGGTCGGCACCCTCTCGCACATCACGTACCCCCCGCTCTCCAGCTGCACCAGTGCCCGGAAACTGCCTTGCCCGACAGTTCGACCTCCTACGACGGGATCTCCCAGCCTCATGCCGTGGGGCGCCCTCACCTCCGCGACCACGTACACGCAGTCGCCGAGCATGCCTCCCGAACCCGCACTGGGTCCGCTCGGCCCCGCCGAGCCGTCGGACGGCACCAGAGCAGCCGCCACCGAGTTGACCACCTCAACGCCGTCGTCCGCCGCGTCCGCGAGCACAGGCCGCGTCGCGGCCTCGTCGCCACTCGCCTCCGCAGCACGCAGCTCCGAGCTCACGCCCTTGCTGGTGAGCCTCCGCTTGACACGCCCGAACCCGCAGTCCTCGACCACCAGCTCGCGCCCGTTCCAGTCCAAGAAGCTGGTGGGCCCCTCGCCAAACCGACCTCCCAAACGTTCTGGCAGGCCCCGCTTCGCCCGGTACTTCATCGCCTCGTCGCGCCCTTCCAGCACGCGAGCCAGCACCTCTCCTGCGGTCATCGCCCCTCGGAAGCGAACGACGCCCCCTCTCAGATCGGCCGGCGGGGCCTCGGTCAGATCGTAGATCCACACCCAGTCCTTTGTCCACTCTATATGCAAGTCGTCATCGGCAGTGAGAATCACCCAACCCTCGAACCGACTATCCTTCCGCGTCGGCCACAGCAGCAGCCTCTCGTGAGAGTACGTGTCACCCTCGAAACGTACAAGCACCCGCCGCCCAGGGACGCGTCCACTACGACTAGTCATGGCGCTCTCGGACTCCTCGCGCCGGCCCGGGCCCAGGTCGCCGTCGTCCGCAGCACCGGCCCAACAGCCAGCTCACCGCCGCCAGCACCGCCGCCAGCGCGAGGGTCTGCTCCGACTCCGCCCCGCGGTCCCCGCAGAGGCCCTCCACCAGCGCGGCCACCTCGGGCGCCCCGAGGCTCGCCGGACAGTCCCCTGGCCCAGGCGGGGGCGGCGGCGGGCACCCTGGCCAACTGGGACACGGCGGGCAGCTCGGGCAGCGCGCCCGCGCTTCCCCGACCAGGAGCAGCCTCGCCGCCTCCGCGGCCGCACCCCGAATCGCCTCGCGAAGAAACCCGGCGGCCGCTGGCGCTAGGTCCCCCAGGGCCATGCCGCCACCAAAAGCTTGAGCAAGAGCGGTTGCGGGCAAGAAGAGCAAGGCCCGCAAGACACGACAGACGTTACTGAAGTCACAGCAATATCGTGGTACCCACAAACATGGTGTCTGTGGCGGCCCAGGTTGTTTCGTTGCTCTGGGAGGCGCAGCTGCGGATTTCCGACGGGACTACGGTAGGTTCGTGTCGCGTCGATTGGCGGCGACCCCGCCAGCGGCGTTCAACGTTGAACGCCGCGGGCGGCCCAGAATCGCTCGATGTGGAACGATTTGGACGCTTCGGAAGCGGCCGATCGTTCAAAGTGCAACGATCCTCGCGGTGCCAGAAACCAACGCCGAAGTCGGCACGACACGAACCTGATGCACAGTCAACCCGCATAGTAAGGACGGGCAACCTTCCCAAGGGTACCCTTGCACCCTTGCCTCCTCGGTCGATCCTTCGCCACTTTCGTCGGCCGCGGCCCGCTCGAAAAGCTTCGAAATGGGCGTCCAAGGCCCTTGCATCCTTATCGCGCATCATTACTAGACGGGTTGACTGCACCCTGGTTGCGGCCTTGCCTCCTCGAACGTGATCTGCACGAGAGAGGCCTGCGTTCTGGCGGGTACCCTGTGTGGTCGCTCGGCTGCGGGCCGGCGGGTGGAGCTCTCCGGCTCGGCGGGTCGTCGGGAGCTCGCGCGAACGACGAGCCAAGGGCCGCCTCCGCGCTAGCGAGGCCTCCGCCGGGCGCTCGCGGGCGCGGTTCGCGGCCTTGCGGTTCGTCTACGGACGCGGCCCGCAGCGAGAGCCGTCGCGAGCGGGTTGACGGCGGCGCCGGGCCAGCACCCTTGCGTTCCCTGACCTCCCCTTCCCCCATCTCCAAAAATGCGGCACTGGGAGACGAAAAAAAACCAGGGGTTGAGGAGGCACGCTACGCTCTGGGTCATTTTCAAGGGCCTCTTCCTCCAAAGAGCCCTCCCTCGGTCCTCCCATGGGGAACCTTTCGTGGGTACCCCTCCCTCCACCGTCGTCGTCTTGAGACGGCAAGCCGCGTCGGCTGTGGTGGGCAAGGGACCTGGACGGTGCTTCACCACCACGTTGGCCGTGTGGCTTGGTGGCATCAGGCATGGTGCGATATGTGGCTCGCCACGCCCGCGGTCTATCTGAGAGTCTGCAGGGCGTGGCCTCACGTGCGGGCACGATTGGGTAGGATTCCCAAAGGGTGGCAAGGGACGCGTTCGTGGCCCCACTGGGGCGGTCCAAGCCACCCTCCTCGACGTCGGCCGGCAGCCCGTCACCGCCTCGGAGTGGAGACGCCCAGTTGGCAGCGAGTGGGAGCTGCGGCGATTCCCCAACTCTCCCCTCGAGGGGTGTCAGCCAGATGATGCTCTTGCTTTCGCGGGATTGGGTGAGGATGCTCGCGAAGACTTCACATCAGCCTTGTGGGCGTCGGCGGCCTTCCACCCGCAGGTCGAGTCCTTGGGGTTTAGTGCCGACATCGTCTCCATTCGCCTCGAGCTTTTTCGCGAGCGGCTCGAGCGGGTTCGCACGACGAGGTTGGCCAGCGTGTCACTGTCGTCGCGGGGGGAAATGGCCGCAGGAGAGGCAGATCCAGGCGGGCTACAACGCCTCGCCCCCTGTGCCCTCGGCGCGGAGTCGCTCCTCAAACTCTGGCCCCTCGAATCTCGGAGTGAGACCCAGCAGCCCCGAAGCCGCCCAGCCTGCGAGGCTTCAAGTCCTCTGGTCTGGGGCCCGCGGGCCCGAGCGGTCCTGGAGCAGATGCCTCGCTCGGGCTTCGGGGCCGCCCTCCCATCCACCGGGGGGGGGTGGAAATCCAAAGGAGTGCGGGGAGCGAGCGGGGAAGGGGCTCTGGCTCTCCAGGAGGTGGATCGACGGTTTCACGCGCGAGATCCCGCAAGTATTAGCCGTGGGCGCGCAGCAGAAGAAGAATAAGAAGAAGAATACTATGAAAAAAAGAGCCTCTCGCTGTCGATCTCCCCCCACATGCATTTATATCTTCTGTTAGGAGATGGTTCCGAGAGGCCGCTCGCGGCCGACGCTGGGCTCGCCTCCTCGTTGCCTCCGGAGGCGGCGACGAGGAGGGCCACTCGGCAGCGGCGTCCGTGGCAGGCGCGCGGAGCGCGGCCGCGGTGGTGATGCGCTCACCGCCGCGCGGCCTGCGCCGTGCAGCAGGCGCGGCCAGCGTGGATCTCCTCCTCCTCCTCCTCCTCCTCCTCCTCCTCCTCCTCCTCCTCCTCCTCCTTCTCCTCCTCCCCCCCCACCCCTTCTCCTCCTCGTCCTCCTCGGCGCGAGACCGCCCCCAGGGCCGAGCTCCGAGCTCTCGGGCTGGCGCTGGCCTCTTTCCCGGGGCCGATGCTGTGCGTCACCGGCCGTCAAGCGCTGATCGACGGGTGGGAGCGTGGCTCTCACCGCCGCGGCCAGGGCGTCGGCGCCATTAGGCGGCGCCATTGCCGACATGTGGAGGTTCATTCGTGACGCCCAGCCACGTCGACCCTTCCGACCCGTTGCTGTCCGAATGGAAGCAGCAGATGGCTGAGGGCAACGGGGCTGCGGATGCCCTTGCCGGAAATGCTGCCCGCAGAGCGAGGTCGGCGGCCCTCGTGGGCAGGGCCCCCAACACGAACGTGTGTGATTGCACGGCGGCGTTTATGCGACGTCGCGCTCGCTAGGCTTTCGTTGACGCGACGCCCGCGGCACCTTGGACCACTGAGCGCCTTGCCGTCGCTCACCGTCCCGCCGCGCGGGCCCTCCAGCAGGCCCTCACAGCCTCTGGCGATTGTTTTATCAAGGCAGGCCGCCACTGGGCCCCCGTCGACGACGGACGGACCGCCCCCGCAAAAACAAACTTAACAAGGTCAGCGTGAACTGACGGGGTGGAAAAAGACAGGCCGCCACTGGGCTTGCGCCCTCGGCCACCAGCTGGTGCTGGGTTCGCAGCTGGGGGCGGCTTGCGCCACGCTTTGCGGCTCGGATAGCTGCCCTGCCCAGGGGCACCCAGCTGACGTCATTCGGGCGGCGGGGGCGGATGAGTGGGCGGGGGCAAGCTAATGCACCAGTCTCACCGAGTACAGCTGCGGCCGCGGCACAGCCTACATTTTTGCGCTCGGTGCGGATGCACTGCCACCACCGACCCCCGTCACTTCATCGAGGAATGTGTCGAGCCCAGCGGCAAGGGGCGCGAGAACTTGGCGCAGGCCCAAATGGGTCTGCACCCAGGCCGGCGCGTCTCTGCGGCCGCTGCTGATTGTAATTTGGGCATGGCGCGGCGCGAGGAGGCCCTCCGCCGACCCCCAGGTGCGTTGTGGCCCACGGACTTGCCGTATGTATCAGGCAATCCCGTAGCAATCCTCCACCTCCTCCTCCTCCCCCTCCCCCCCCCCACCTGCTCCTTGGAGCACGATCGCAAAAGACGAGGGCGGCGTGGTTTATTGACCCCCCGTCGGAGGCCAGAACACATAACCCCGCGGAGCGCCCTTGGTGCCGTCTTGGAGCCTCTCTGGGCCGCCCTGGGGCCCTGAGGCTCATTGGCCACTTGGGTCCTTTTCGGGGCCGTCTTGGACCCTCTTGGAAGCATGTTGGAGGCGATCTAGGTCCACATTGAGCAATCCTGTGCGATCCTGGAGGCCACCTTGCAACATCATGGAAGAGGAGTAACCCCCCCAGGGAGGACAGAAGGGGGCTCTGACGAAGAATCATAAGAAGAAGATGAATAATGATAACAGTAGTCGTGATAATACGAATACGAATGATGATAGTCATAGTGGTATTGATAATGATAGTAATAACATTAACACGAATAATTGTACTAACAATGGTAATAATATTATTAATCATAGAACTACTTGTAGAGTTGGGTCCAGGGTGCCACTTGCACCGTAACCATCACGGCGCAAGTCACGACGCTGCTCAATGCTGCCCGTCTTCGACGCAGGCTGGCCTTAGCTGGATCGCCTCCAGTGGGGCTGCGCTGGCCGCGGAGCCCGCCTGCAGGAGTGCGCTCGGCAACGCCGCCTACTTTTGCTTGACGGGCGTGGACGCCGCACGTTTCCTCGCTTCGGCCTCGTTCGGCGTCGGCGTGCTCACGGGGGCGTTCGCCGTCTATTCGGAGGTTGATAGACCTCGTACCCTGACGCGTCGATTACTGGAATGGCCGTTTTCGGTTCGCGAGAGGGCGTCGCGGCCGTCATTTTTGCTGGTCCAGGTCTGCCAGTGTCGCGTTTATCACGTGGAGGTTTACTAAAGGAAGGCTTCTCCACAGCCGATCTATCTTGCGAAGGGGCTGTCGCGCTGCGCCAGGCGCAGGTTCCGGCGGTCTTCTGGCGACCATTTGCTAGATGTCCGTCTGGATGGCGGCGATCGCGTTGGAGCCAGGCCGCAAGATTAGCGCGCGCTACCAGCCCGACCCGCCGCCGGCGCCGCCCCCCCCCCCCCCCCCCCTTGGCGCGAGCGGATCCTCCTCCAGCCTTCGACCGAGAAGGCGATGCAGGGCTGCGCGGGGGAGTCGCTCTTCAATGGGGGCACAGCGTGGTGGGTTCTCACCCTGGGGGGGGCGTCTACCCAGAGGAGTTGGCGGTGCCGCCGCTGGAGGGCATCAGCTTCTGCGACGACGTGGGGGTGACCCATCTTCAGCATCAAGAGCGTCCGCTTCTTCCGCCGCTGGCAGCCAATGCGCATTCGTTCCGCGTCGATCGACCGGCTGGACCACCCGCTCCCTTGCTGGTGCAGAGGGCCATCAGTGACGCGAGGGTCGACCAGCACGGTCTCGACCCGGACTCTGGCGCCGTGCGCGGAGGCCCCCTACCCGCCCCAGCGGCGGGTCGCGCCCTGCGGGCCATCGGCCCTTCGGCGCAGGGGGGCCCCGAGGCGGAGAAGGAGTGCCTCTGCATCGTCAGCAACGTCGCGATCGGCCTCGGTTACCACCAGCTCATCAAGCGGGGCGCCACGCTCCTGATGGCGCAGGAGGTCGATCGCCAGGACGCGGGCGCTATCAGGCTGCTCAGGGATCAGGAGAAGGACGCGCGTGCCATTCCGGCGAAGCGGAGGACGGCGCAGCAGAGGGGAGGAGCTTCCGGGAGGCGGGCTCTCTCCAGGAGCACCACGACTTCGGGGGCTCGCCGTTGCCGGGCGAGGTCAGCCTCCCCACGTCTACTCTCCGAGGTGGCCCAGTCGTCGGATGGAGGTGGCGCCGCGACATCCTGCCTCAGCCTCAGCTTCAGCCTGCCTCAGCCTCAGCCTGCCTCAGCCTCAGCCTCAGCCTGCCTCAGCCGCAGCTTGCCTCAGCCTCAGCCACAGCCTCAGCCTCAGCCGCAGCTTGCCTCAGCCACAGCGTCAGCCTCAGCCTCAGCCTGCCTCAGCTTCGGCCTCAGCCCCAGCCTGCCTCGGCTTGCCTCAGCCTCAGCCTCGGCCTCAGCCTGCCTCAGCCTCAGCCTGCCTCAGCCTCAGCCTTCGGGGAGATGAGCGTTTATCAAAAATGCCTTCCTCACGGCCGTGTGCTCACCGCGTCCCTCCACCTTCTGTTGCATCACTTATCATTGCGTGTCCTCATTCGCCCGGCGTGTTCAGCGCCCCTTATCGGTAATTCGCCTCCCTCCCCGCGGCCGCTTTCGAGGCTCAAGCAGCCATGCGCGGTGATCAGGTTCCCCATGGGCGCGCCAGTCGGCGCGCGATGGCATGGCAAATGCAGGGATGGCATCTGTTACGAAGTGGAGTGGCTGAAGTTGCCTAGCGGTGGAAAGCCGAGAAAGACCCGCTACGGCACCGCTGGCTCTGCAAACATCTGGAACCGCAGTAGCGGAGGTATGTGCCCTAAGAACGTCAAGGTGCGCGCGCGTGCGCAAGACGACTGCGTTGCACTGTGGGGCGGGGGGAAGTATGGAGCGTCGGAGGTACCTCGGCGCCACTTGCACCCGTCCGATTGGCGCCCACCAGCGGCGCCGTCGGCTCCAGAGGCAGGAGAGGGAGCGGCCGCCCCAGCCGCCGCAGTTGACGCGTCCTCATGAGGACTTCGTCGTCCTCCTCCTCCTCCATCTCCTCCAGCTCCCGCTTTGAGGTCCTCGTCCTCCTCGTCCTCCTCGTCGTCGCCCCCCCCCCTCTGAAGCCGAGATCCCAGTGGCCGCGGCAGCGGGAAGGGGCGCCGCAGAAGCGGTTGCAGTGCCAGAGAGCGCAGTAGCGTCAGAGAGCGCAGAAGGGGCAGCGGCATCAGGAACTCCACCGCCTGGAGACGACGCCGCAGGTGCGGTTGAGGTCGCCGCAGGAGTAGAAACGAGCGGGGCTGCTGCATCTGCGGGCGCATGCTGCCAGCGCCCCCGCTGCCAGCGACGCGGTCCGAGAGTGCCGTGCAGTTCTTTTCTTGCCCCAACCCAGATGCGGCGGCCTCAGTGGCGGCGCCTACCGCGGCGCCAATGCGGACGCGGGCCCCTGCGCCTCCAGCGCCGCCGCAGAAGAGTGCACCTGCGGCGACGGCCCCGCGGATGGATGCCGCAGTGGCGGCGAGGATCTCTGACGAGGCGCTGGCGCGGCTGCGGGACATGTTGAAGCCCTTGGCCACTCAACGTGCTGCTTGTTTGCGCTGCGGCGCAGGCGTCGCCCGTATTTTTTTATTATTTTTTTGTATTTTTTTTTTTTTTGGGGGGGGGGCGGGGGGGGCGGCAAGGGCCTGCTCGAGTTCCACGCGCCGTGCGCACTGGGCCAAAAGCTGGAGCCGCGTGCTGTCGACGGCGCGGCGCGCGTGCTCAGAGAAGATGCTGGTTTGTTCGGCGAGCACATGGTCCACGACCTCTTGCCAATCTCTGAGGAAAACCCTCTGCATGAGGTCCGCCACTGGGTGGCCGCAATCGCGGCGGGGGCCGCGGTCGACGGTGGCGCGGACCCGCTGAGCGTTTTCCACGGGCCTCGGGGCAATTATATCCTGGGGGCCGTTTGCGACGGGAGCTGCGGCATCGACCTGATGGCGATGATGCTCGAGAGACCGAACAATGCGCAGGAGCGCGCCTCCATCAGGCAGGAATTCTTCGACTACGGAATGGAACGGTGGCAGGAGCCGCGGCTGCACGACATGCTCGTGCTCACGCAGGAGTTGGAGCTGGAGGACGCGAGGGCGCGCCGCAGTAGCACGCCGATGGCCCTTGTGGACGTGCGCTCCGACGACAACGGCGACGACAAGAGGGCGGGGCGGAAACGCATGTTGTGGACCAGCAGGTGGTCGCGCAGCCTCCGCTTTCGGCCGGGCCCGAGCTTCTCCAGGCCTTGCGGTGGCAGACGGGGTTGCAAGATGACGGTAATTTGCTGGCAATCGCAGATGGCATGTCCGAGCCGTTGCGGGAAGAGCAAATCAGGCTGCACGAGGCCTTCAAGCAGCAACCCGTCGTCGCAGTCGCGAAAGTAAAGAAGCCAGCGCACCCCTGGCTGCTCGCAGACCACAACGCGGTGCGCAGAGAGCCCCAGGAGTACGCCCGCAGTCGCGGTTGGGGTTGTGGGCGGCTGACGAGGGGCACGTTGGTCGGCTGTCGTCAGCAGTGCAAGTGGCCGACAGGCATGAACGAGAGAACGCAGGCATTAGCCGCGGCAAAGTGGTGGTGGCGCTGGAAAAAAGCAGGGGGTGGTGCCGCACCCTTGGATAACAGATACTCACATAGCAGACGTCGCGCAGATGGCGCTGGTCGTTATGCGAAGTGCGCATGGTCGGAAGACTCTCTGTACGAATGGTGGTCGCACATGAGGTATTCTGGGGAATGGAGAGCCGTCGCGAAGAGGAACGCAGGAGCGTCCGAATATCATGGCAGTATTCACCCAAGCCCTGGTCGCTAGAGCGCGGCAACTCACAACGCAGTACTGCGTGGAAGCATTGATGCAGGGACGCACACCTTCGGTGCCGCAGTTGCGGTCAAGGTGGTGGGTGAAGTGGTACCGTGGCCAAGGTGGCGGCTCAAGTCACGACGCTGGTTCCTCCTCCTCTCCTCCTTGGGCATGGTGCTTGCGGCCTTTCTGCTGGCCGCCTCTCTGCCAGTGCAAAGTTGGTCATGTAATTCCTTTTCTGGGCGTAGTGCACAGGTCTCACGCTCGAGGCATTTCTGCTGGCCGCATTTCTGCCAGCTCAGTGCACAGTTCATCCGGCAATTCCTTTCTAAGCTCTGGCACCAGAAAGATGCATCATCAGACCTGATCATCATCATAATAAGACTGGCCATGTAAACCATATGAATGATAAGATTAGTAGCATTAGTTATATTCATAGTAATAGTACTCATCGTATTTGCAATAATGATAAGAATGGCATTGAGAAACATATAGCAACATTATTACTAACAATATTAATGCTACTATTATTACAAATACGACGAATCAAAAAGCAAAGACTAATACTGATTTCATTTTAACAATAATACGAAGAAGAGGAAAGGAAAATAAGGAGGAAAAGAAGACGAAGAAGAAGCTGTCTGAACCACTTGTGCGCACAGGGCTGGTGCCATTATCAGGATGGCCGTTATGCCCCCTGTTACAGAAGGCCCCTCGCACAAGTCATCGGTATGCTGGCAGGTGCCCCGTGGAAATTTCCTACCCCTCGATGACCAAGCATACAGTCAACCCGCACAGGATGGATGGGCAACGTTCCCAAGGGTACCCTTGCATCCGTGCCTCCTCGGTCCATCCTTGGCCATTTTCGTTGGCTGCGCCCAGCTCCAAAAGCTTCGAAACGGCCTTCCAAGGCCTTGCATCCTTATCGCCGGTCCTTAACCTACGGGTCGACTTGTGATACGGGTCGAGCCCTGGGGCACACCAGGACCATCAGAGCTCGACGAAGAATGCCCCCCAAGAGCGGCTGGATCTCTTATCGCGTGTGCCTTCCGAGTTGCGGTGCCGCCGGGCGAGGCCTCTCCTGCTGCCGCGGGCGCGGCGGCTGCTCCGGAGCAGGCCCCCGAGGCCGCGGGGGCGGCCACTGCCTGCGCGCGAGAGGCGGCCGCGACCGCCGAACCTGCCGCCGACCTGAAGGACCGGGGGGGCCTCCAGGCCTCTACTGCATGTTGGGCTGGTGAAGAAAGGGGGGGGGGTTCAATGGGAGAGAAGAGAGGGGGGCGAAGAAGGGGGAAGGGCGGACGCATGCCGGGCCTCAATGGGGGGTGAAAAAAAGAGCGCTGAAGCGCCCCTTGAGGACTCCTCTCTTCACCCACAGTCCAGGCCGCCCCCCCTTCAGCACCCGCCCGATGGATAGTGGCGCCAGCTTTCTGGTGCAAGGGAAGTTTCGCGCTCCCGCCGGAGCGCTCTTCGGCCAAATGTCCTGCGACGGCATGCTTGCAAAGGGATGGCGGCAGCGAGCTCCTGGAATATTGGCGCTGCGTAGTTGTCTCCGCAGCTCCCAGATGGACGCGGCGAGCTTGACCTCCTTCAGGAGGGGTATCGAGGAACAGATCTCCCCGTCGCATCATGACGTCGTTCTCGTCAGAGATAAGCACGTCAGTGGTCAAGGTGAGCCCTGATTGTAGGCTGTGCTGGCGATTCCGTCGTGCGCCTCCCCAGATGAATAACCTCACCGATGGGCTACTTGAGACCTGAGCGTACACAGCGGAGACATTGCCCTGACTACGCTCATCCCATGCACCAGCTCAAAATGTGAAAAGCTTGCGTAGCTCTCCAAGATTCCAGTTTGCCAGGTGGATGGATGGAGGTTCTCCACCCGACAGGTTGGTGTTGTCAGACCGAAAGTCGGCGGCGAGCGAGGGGGGGAAGTGAGAAGAGGCGGGCCTTCTCAGAAGGCTCGGAAGTCCCCTGGCCTTCCGGGAAGAGCTCTGAGCCTTCCCCGAAGACACGGAAAGCCTCTCAGAAGGCCAGGGGGCTTTTGAGGAGCCCCGCCGCCTTCTGAGAAGGCCTCTTGTCATGCTCCCCTCCCCTCCCCTCCCCTCCCCTCCCTCGCTCCCCTCCCTCGCCCCCCGCTGACTCAAGACGGAGCTCCCGACGCGCCTTCGCACACCCGCTGCGCAACACGGCCGCCAGGCCCAGACTGTGCCGGTGCTCCCAGGGTCCCGTACAGTGGAGGCCCGTGCCGAGAAGCACCTTGCTTGCCTCCAGGGCGCCCTGGGTTTTGGGGGTTTCGATGGTTCAGCTGTGGAGGCGTGATGGTCCCACGCCAAGAGTCAATGGACGTCCTGGGGTCTCAGGTCTGGGCTGGCCTCCACTGCACAGTGGAGACCCATGCCAAGAAGCACCCTGCTTGCTTCCAGGGCGCCCTTGGTTTCTTGGGGTTTCGATGGTTCAGTTGTGGAAGCGTGACGGTCCCACAATAAGAATCAATGGACGTCGTGGGGTCTCAGGTCTGGGCTTTTTCTCAAAGGTTTCTTGTGGACTGGCCTCCACTGCACAGTGGATGCCCATGCCAAGAAGCACCCTGCTTGCCTCCAGGGCGCCCTGGGCTTCTTGGGGTTTCGATGGTTCAGCTGTGGAAAGCGCGACGCTTTCACACCGAAAGTCAATCGACGCCCTGGGGTCTCGGGGGGTGGGTTTCTTGTGGAGGGTGTCTTGTGGTCTGGCTCCGACCGTACCTCTCATGCCTTCGACGCGTGACGACTGCATACACCGCGACCGCCAGTCCCAAATGTCTACCGGTGCTCTCTGGGGATCTTGCCTTTCGCTCTTGGGTGGGGCTCCAGGCGTTTGTCTTGGATCTCGGCTTATGGCTCAGAGGAGGACAAGGTACCTCTACCGCTACCCTTCGCCCGTTTCTCCCTTTTTGGGCCTCCCGGGAGGCCCTCGTCGCCACCGCTGGATTCGCTTCGAAATTCTGGACAGAACGCACACGGGGAGAGGTCCAAGGAGTAGCGATATCGGTTTTCTCGATTTCCCCACTGGCGCCCGTTATCGGCCCCCCCCACCTACGATGGATCCGGGGCGAAGAATTGTCCTCGGGACTTCTTTGGGGCCGCGCACTGAAACATTGCCTCGTCGGAAGTCTGAGGAGGGGTTCAGACCTCCTCACGTCGAATTTCGAGCATCGAGGTTCGAGGATGGGGTGTTTGGACGATTTTGGCCTCTCCCAGTGGCCCTCCCAGTCGCCACGGCACAGTTTGCGTTGAAGCTCAGTCCAGGGTCAAGAGATCGGCCCCGAACCATATTTCCTCGTGTCGGAGAAAACCACGTGACATCAGTTCTGTTGGCATTTGCAGCCCCTTGGGGCCGGGGGGTCAGCGCAATGAGAAAGTCACGACGTCGGAGTTCGGGGGTGAGCATGGCCCAGGGGTGTCCCCGGCTTGTCGCGCCATGCTGGGTTCCCCGAGGTCCTCTGCAGGCAGGGCCAGGACTAAGATTACATCGGGCGTGTCCCCCTACAGGGGGCTTTTCGACGAAAACATAAAGATACCCCAGAAATATTCCAAAAAGGCCAAAGAATACTCACCAACTAGTCCCCTAACTATTTTTGGAGTATTTTTTATTTTTTTCTGGCTATTCTTTATTTTTCGTCGAAAATCCCCCTGTATGGGGGACAGGCCCGACTTAAGACTAAGACCGATCGTTCCTGAACGTGTTCAGAGGGTTCCAGAACGCCTTGGAACAGCCGCGGCGCCCGATACGCCAGGTCTCACGGACGCCTTGCAAATATCATCCCGACGTTGTCTTCTTCCTGCCGTCGTCTTATCCCTGGACCTTGTGAAGGATGCTCGCGAGGCCACACCTAGGCCTCCCTGCAAGACCTGGGGTTACCCATAGACGAGGGCCACTCGGCAGCAACAAAACAGGACGAGGTCGCGAAGCTCAGCGCGCAGAACCAGAGGATGACGGTCGAGATGGGCGAGCTCAAAGCGCAGGTCGAGGCGCTCATGAGGCTGTCGGGCGGCTCGGCCTAGCAGTGCGAGCGAGCTCCTCCACCCCTTTTTTCCCAGCCACGAACTTCGGCGGCTCGCACAGCCCAGACCTCCCATGGATTGATGTTTGAAATCCTGGCGCTTTCCCTCGACGGACTGGTGCAGCAGAACCAGCGGACCCTGCGGCCGCGAAACTGGCGGCGGGCAGGCGAGGCTAGTTCGCATACCTTCCAAAGGATGCAACTCCTGGGAGGTTACATTCAGAGCCGGCACTGGCATATCATTGGTCGGAAACTTCCTTAAACTGGCTCAATCCAATTTAATGCTGCTCAAATGCAGCTGAATCCAGCCTACTCTGGTTCTAAAGCTTTTCAGTCGGGCTGACTAATGTTTCACCGTTCTGGCGAAGACCTCCCAGAAGTTACCTCCTAACCTTCCTCGACTCTTCGACTTGTGCGCGCTGCGGCCAGGGCAAAACAGGCACCGCGGAGGATCGTCGGGCCGAGGCCAAGCGGGGACGTCGCTCGCCCCATGTGTGCGTATGTCTGTACATGTGTATATACACCTGTACAGGTATTATGAATATTCATATGTGTGATTCTACATATACAGGTGTGTATCATACACACATGCATGCGCATGAACATACCTACATATATGCATACATGCATGCATACATACATGCGTATAGATGTACGCACATGCACACATACATACAAACATACATACATACAAACATGTATACATACATACATACATACATACATACATACATGCATGCATGCATGCATGCATCCATACATACATACATACATACATGCATGCATACATACATACATACATACCCACATATGCATACATACATATATATATACATACACACATACACACATACACACATACTTACATACATACATACAGACAGACAGACAGACAGACATGCATGCATGCATGCATGCATACATACATATACATACACGCGTGCAGATAGGCTTTTGTATAAACATACAGACAGACAGACAGACAGACAGACAGACAGACAGACAGACAGACAGACAGACAGACAGACAGACAGACAGACAGACAGACAGACAGACAGACCGACCGACCGACAGACAGACAGACAGACAGACAGACAGACATGCATGCATGCATGCATGCATACATACACACACAGACACGGACACAGACACAGACACAATCACAGACACGGACACAGACACAGACACACACACACACATTCACATGCACACACACACACACACACACACACACACACACACACACACACACACGCATGACACACGGCGTGGGCGTCCTGGGTGCCCCCAAAAAATGCTTGGACCCTCATGGCGGGACCGGGGCCCCAGGGGCCCTCCAAGATTGTTTCAAACGGCCCCACAATGCCTCGAAATGGCTTTGGAGGGCGCTAAGACGGCCCCAGATAGCCTCCAGACCGCCCCAGACAGTTCAAGATGGCTCCAAGACGGCCCCACGAGGCCCCAAGGAGGCCAACATCTTTGAAAAACTCGCGGACCGAGTGTTTTTCAAGATCTCGCCTTTTCGCTTCCATGGGGCCTCTGGGGCCTCAGGGTGGTCCAAGAATGGCCCTAGAGAGCCCCCAAAGATGTCCCAGACGGTCGACTGGGGCCTCCAAGACCCTTCAACATGGCTCCGAGACGGCCGAAGATGGCTCCGAGCTGGCCCTCGAGCCCGCCAAGACGGCCACAGGTGGCTTTCAGACGGCGCCAGACAGTCCAAGACGGCCCCAAGACGGCCCCAAAAGGCCGCCAAGAGGCTCCCAAGAGGCCCAGAGGAGGCCGAAATCTTTCAAGCGCCGCGGAACACCACAAGCTTTCCAAGATCTCGCCTTTTCGCTTCCGAGTGACCTCTGATCTGAGGATTCAGGAGGGTCCAGAAAATGTTTTAGAGGAGCCCCAGAGAGGCCCCAGACGGTCGACAAGGGCCCCACAGATCCTCCAATATGGCTCCGAGACAGTGGGAGATGGCTCCGAGATGGCGCTCGAGCCCGCCAAAGCCGCCCCAGATGGCATCCAGACGTTGCCAGACAGCCCAAGACGGCCCCCACAGGCCTTCAAGAGGCCCCCGGAGGCTCCCAAGAGGCTTCCAAGAGGCCCCCAGGAGACCAACATCCTAAAGACCTAAAGGGGGACCTTGGGTTTCTGAAGGTCTCGCCTTTTCGCATTCGAGGAACCTCTGAGGCCTCAGAGTGGCTGTATCGGAGGTGGATAGACCTCCTACCCTGACACGTCGATTTGTGAATTGGCCGTTTTCGCGGCCTTCATTTTTGCGGGTCCAGGTCCGTCGATTTCGGTCCCAGGCCGCTTTCACTAAGGGAAGGTTTACTAAAGGGAGGTTTGTCCACCGCCGATTGTAGAGGAGCCGACTCGGGACCCAAGACCCTTCCAGACGGCTCCGAAACGGCCGACGATAGCCTCGAGACCGCCCTCGAGCCCGCCAAGACCGCCCCAGATGGCCTCCAGACGGCCCCCGGCAGCTCCAGCCAATCCCAAGACGGCCTCAACGGGCCTTCCAAGAGGCTCCCAAGGGGGCTCCCAGGAGGCCCCCAAGGAGGCCCCCGGGAGGCCAACAGCTGTCGCTCCCGACGGCCCGCCTGAGCCTCCCGAGGCGCGCAGCTGGCCTAACGTTCCTGGAGCCCTCCAGGAGCATCTCACCGGTGTCGTCATGCCGACAGTGACAGTCAGCATGCCGATTTCCGACGAGAGGCTTCAATGATGATGCAGCAGAGGAGAAGGAAGAGGTGGAGGAATAACAAGAGGAAGAGGGGCAGAAAGAGAAGAAGGACGAGGAAGAGGAGGAGAAGAAAGAGGATGAAGAGGATGCTGCTGCTGATGATGCTGCTGATGGTAATGATGATGATGGTGGTGGTGATGGTTATAAATGTGAGCATCATCATGGTTTTTTATGCGAACGATGATGAGGATGAGGAGGAGCAAGATAATGGGGATGATGAGAATGAGGGTGAGCATGGTTCCGACTATGCCATGCGCTTGTGCATGACAGCGCTGCCCAAGCTCTTCCAGCGACCCCTGGGCATGCGCTAGAACCTGCGTGCGCGCGAAGTCCGCACGATGGTTCTACAGGCTCGGCAGTATTTATCCGAACGCCACACCAAGTCTCCAATAATACGGGAAAGACACATGAGCGCCTCTGCGCCTAACCCCGTTCGCATCAGCGGGCGCGCAGTCCAAACGCCCCCCGACAAAATTCTAAACGGGCTTCGGAGTGGTCCGCTCCTTGAAATAGAATGTTGACAAGGAGAGTGGGTCGAGCCTGGTTTGGGTGATTCTGCTTGGGCCGTCTTCAAGATCTGCCGAATTGGGCCCCTGGCTTGGCCCGACTCTGCTCGGTTTGGCCGCGCGCCCCGCTTGAGGCATCCTCAGAATTTGCCTGGTTTGGCCACTGGTTTGGCCCGGTTCGGGCCCGGTTTCGTTAGATTCGCCTTAAGATTTGCCTGGTTTGGCGCGGTTTGGCATGGTTTGGCCGCGCGCTCCGCCTGAGAGACATCCACAAAATTTGCAAGGGCTTCGCCCCCTGCCGCTGGCCCCCTCTCTCGGAGAATGGGAGATGCAAAAGCTAAATCATGAGGTCTGGGCGCCGCCGTGAAGCAGTGACGGGACCTGTTTGTTTTTCGACCCTGACCCTACGGATCTGCGTCACGGGTGCCACCGAATTTCAGAAATGTAGCAAACCCTTTTGTTTTTGGACCCTGACCATACGAATCTGCATGAGGGTGCCGCCGAATTTCAGAAATGTATCAAATCCCATATGTTTTTGGACCCTGACCCTTCCGATCTGCGTGAGGGGTGCCGCCGAATTTCAGAAATGTGGCAAATCCCCTATGTTTTTGGACCCTGACCCTCCCGATCTGCGTGAGGGGTGCCACCGAATTTCATACATGTGGCAAATCTCATGGGTTTTCGGACCTTGACCCCGCCGATCTGTTTGAGGGGTGCCACCGAATGTCAAACATGTGGCAAATCCCATAGGTTTTTGCACCCTGACCCCGCCGATCTGCGTGAGGGGTGCCACCGAATGTCAGAAATGTCGCAAATCCATTGTTCCCAGCCATCCAGTGGTTTTGGGTCCTCGTTTTGAAGAGACAGCGCCCCGCGTCCGACCTCCTTCCTCCTTTCTCCTCCTCTCCTCCTCCTCCCTCCTCCCCCATCTTTGCCTTTGCTCTCCGCATGTCTCAGCTCACCCCCTCCTCCTCCCATCATCATCATCATCATCATCATCATCATCATCATCATCATCATCATCACCATCACCATCACCATCACCATCACCATCACCATCACCATCACCATCACCATCACAATCATCGTCATCATCGGCATCGCCATGGCTGATTCGTTTCGTGGCCCCATAGGGAGCTCCATCGAAGACCCCAGTGGGGGGGGGGCGCATGCGTCCCCCACGCTCAGGGCAGCGTTTCGTGCCCCCATAAGGAGCTCCACCGAAGGCCCCAGTGGGGGGCCGCATGCAGCTCCCACGCCCAGCACAGCTTTTTGTGGCCCCATAGGGAGCTCCCCCAGTGGGGGAGGGGGGGCGCATGCGTCCCCCACGCCCAGCACAGCGCTTTGTGGCCCCATATGGAGCTCCACCGAAGGCCCCAGTGGGGGGGGGGCGCATGCGTCCCCCACGCCCAGCACAGCGTTTCGTGGCCCCATACGGAGCTCCACCGAAGGCCCCAGTGGTGGTGCCCGCATGCGCCCCCCACGCCCAGGACAACATTTCGTGGCCCCATAGGGAGCTCCACCGAAGGTTCCAGGTCTACCGTCCGCATGCGTCCACACACACACACACACAGTACAGCGATTCGTTTCGTGGCCCTGCTCCTCCTCCTCCTCCTCCTGCTCCTCCTCCTCCTCCTCCTCCCTGCGTTTCACCCACCCAGTACAGCGCTTCGTGGCCCCATAGGGAGCTCCACTGAAGGTTCCAGGTCTACCGTCCGCATGCGTCCCCCCCACCCAGTGCAGCGTTTCGTGGCCCTCCTCCCCCACCTCCCTGCGCTTCACCCACCCAGTACAGCGTTCCGTGGCCCCATAGGGAGCTCCACCGAAGGTTCCAGGTCTACCGTCCGCACGCGCCCCCCCCACCCAGTACAGCGTTTCGTGGCCTTCCTCCCCCTCCTCCTTGCGTTTCACCCACTCAGTACAGCGCTCCATGGCCCCATAGGGAGCACAACCGAAGGTTCCAAGTCTACCGTCCGCATGCGCCCCCCCCCACCCAGCGTTTCGTAGCCTTCCTCCCCCCTCCTCCTTGCGTTTCACCCACCCAGTACAGCGCTTCGTGGCCCCATGGGGAGCCCGACCGAAGGTTCCAGGTCTACCGTCCGCATGCGTCTCCCCCACCTAGTACAACGTTTCGTGGCCCTCCTCCCCCCCTCTCTGCGTTTCACCCACCCAGTACAGCGTTTCGTGGCCCCATAGTGAGCTCCACCGAAGATCCCACTGGCACCGCCCGCATGCGCCGGCCACCGCCCAGCACAGCCCTTGC